GAGAGAGAGTGTGTGTGTGTGTGTGTGTGTGTGTGTGTGTGTGTGTGTGTGTGTGTGTTTTGATGAGAGTGAAACCGTGATGGAAGATTTATTATAACGAAGTCAACTGTGACATGTAAACTCAAGTTTTTCGAAGCCCACAGGTAGTTCTAAGCCAATATCTCCCCTCTAACCATATCTGCTCTCTGATACTATTTTTTCAGTGTCGAATGATAAGGAATACGGGAAGAAACGAAAATAGAAGAAAGACCAGAAGTGAGGAACCAAGTACACTTGTAAAATGATAAAAGAGAACGAATGATGATGATAAATATCATGTATGTATGTGCGAATATTTGTGAAAAGAAAGTCTACATCTAGATCTAAAGTTATTTTGCACTGTGAGATACGATGTTTCAATTATAAGAAATAAGTTTCCACTCTTTGACTGTCAGTGAACATTTTCCAAATGACACTTGTAATAATAATTATTAACATTAATTTCTAGAGCTGTTTCACAGATCATTTTAAACCCTCTGTCTTTTCTACTTAATAAATTTTTAGACTTTGATACGTTTATCGTCAGACTAAACCTGCATGTTTGCGATATGTCCGTGGTCTACCAATAGTGCACACACATTAAAATTTACATGGCATGTCCTTACACAGTGTCGTCAGACCACTCTCTTCCCTGTGTTTGTTCTCTTGTGGACAGAGTGAAGTACATGAATAATTAACCCAAGACACCCCTCTCCCTTGTTATTTTTTGGTAGTGTTACGGTAACACATTTGGACAGAGAAGCGATACCACAGATAATGATACTATTTTGTTGTATTTCTTCTTATTTTCTGTGTTTACCTGAACATTATCAATACCCTCACAAATAAATTAATAAATTAATAAAATGTACAAAAAAGAAATGTAAAAAAGTCTGACTCAGTGAAATAAAAGAAGGATTTCTCTTATACGTATGCTTTTTCAAAGTTGTAACTCACTTATTTCTTTTTCTCTTTTATTTTTATCTTTGAACAAATGCAGTGATAGAAAGGGGCCACTTCATTAAAATCAGTTGTAAAAGACTGCACCTAATTCTCTATTGTCAAAGTTTATTTTCTAAATCTATAATCTATTCTTGTCTTTTGTTTTGTCCGTGTACGAATGTAGAGGAAGAAAATGGTGTCACTTTAGAGAACATGAAATCTAAATGACTTCATTTAATTCTCTACTGTCAACGATTATTTAAGTTTCTATTAACTCTAGATATAATCTCTATTTGTCTTTCATTATTTATTTTGTGTATGAATAAAGTGCTTACTTTTGTAATGTATACGATATTTTTAAGATCGTATTCGACAATTAAGTTGTCGAAAAGAACGACGATGACGAAGACGATGATGTAAATCCAAGAATGTATCACAAGATAAAATATCCAGATCAGAAATCAGATACGGCTCCCCTTGAGGTGTTTCAACTACCCCTCAGCAAGGTGAAAGAATCCTTTTCTTCCAGCAACAGTGTGCGAAATCACAAAAACACGATCCACTTTTATCCTCCGGCTAAATTCCTCCAGCGAATGGTAGAGGCGTCTGAAGCGTAATAATAGTATGGATGATGATAATAATAATGATGCTGATGTGAATCCGTTCGTGGCTCTAAAAACGCACGAGGAGCGAAGGAAAGCGCTGGGCTGTGATTGAGGGTATCGAGGTATCGTCGTCGCTCCCAGCCCCTGTCGTCCTGTGACTGTACGCGCACACACACACACACGCCGCCACACACACACACACACGGACAGTGTACGCAGGCTGTGACTGACTGGTTTGTCGCTGCTCCCAGCCCGTCGTCAGCAAGCCCGGCCGAGAGAGGTACGTACGCCTTGCTTCACCGGCCCGAACGAGCGAGTGAGCGAGCGGACAGACGCCTCTACGTCTTGTCAAACTGTTGTGACGGGGAAAGGCGGCGTGGCGTGGCGTCGCGGCGTAGTAGAGCGGAGCGGAGCGGACAACTGACGCGCGCGGCATAAGGCTGTTGGTGGCGGTGCTGGCTGGCGGCTTATGTTGTTGATGGAGGTGGCCTTATGGATACGAGTCCCGAGTCTGAGACGAGGGTTTGACGGGCGAGGTGCGCGCTCGACGTAAAGTAACTTCAGGTGACAATCCCTTCAGACACACACCGGTACATCGTGTACAGGTGCTTCTTCGAGCAGAGGTCCTTTTTTTATTTGAGTTTCGGGATTTTAAATTTAAAAAATAAATTATTTAATGAGCTTACCGCACTGCTAGCCCATGGATGGGCTGGCATTTCGTAGGTTGGGACAAAAATAATGGTTATACATTGTGGTATGGTTGAAACATATACATGGGGTAAAAATAATGGTTGTACATTGTAGTATGGTTGAAACATATACATGGGGTAAAAAGGAATAAAAGAAGATCTTTTCAGATCGGAAGGACCGAATGATTCCCTGATTCCATATCTCTATGGTTACAATAATTATTTTGCTAGCCGATTGATCTTGGGGCACTGCACATGGTGTCTGCAGTGTAGTGGTTAGGTCTTTGCATAATATGTGGCGTGAGTTCGATTCCCGTGTGGTGATAATTGATTTTTATCGAGCATCTCCGTTTGTCTATTGGGATGTTGTGGATTCCCTCCCACCCTGGGTTAGCCTTGGCAGGCAGAGTCAAAACAGCCCGCCTCCAAAATGATCTAAATAATCTCTGTGTGTATGTGTCCATCCTTTTTTCGTTCTACAGTTTATTCCTTTTTTAAAAGTTTGGAGGGACACCACAAAGCCCCGGAAATGTAGTCTCTCCCCAGCTGGCCGGATTCTGACCCCGGAAACTCCCGCACCTCGTGCACGTACCAGGGGGGTCGCGCATACGTCACAGTCTACTGTCTACAGGTTGCGTGGACTGGACAGTGACTGTGGTCAAGGGCAAGGGGGAGGAAGGGGGGAGAGAGGCCGTGCCCAATGCGCTACTAAAGTTCTGTCTGAATAGTAACTAGTTTTGAGAAATTTGACGTAATGTTGTTTTTTGAGTTTCGTAACATGTCTACGTTTTTCGAATTCAATTCTTTGACTATATGGACAACGACTCCCGAGTTATCTTACGATTTTGATAATGCAGTTAGAACATTTGTTTTTTTGGCCTCATGGTCTTAGTAACTTAAAACGGCCAAAAATGTCAGATAGAATTTTGTATCTAAGGAAGCAATGTTGTGTTTATCTATCTGTTTGGGTGT